ATTTATGTGGGTATTTAGCAATATTAGGTCGTTTATGTGACAACAAGTGAATCCACGGGGGATTATGTGTAATCTATCCTTTTAACTGTATCTAGAGAACTCTTTCTCAGACCAGTATGAACTCTGAACTACTAGGTAGGGATTCAGTCTGGGTCCACTTTATTCTTCTCAGCATTAGTCAATTCCAATTATCCTCCACAAGTGACGTTGTTCACGACCAGGCGACTTGGTTGTAAGACTTGCCAAGGTCAAGTTTTCCCATGCCATAAGTTTTCCTGGCTTATACAACTTTCATGATCCCTCAAACAATACTTAATTTGGCTCCTAATCTACCAATCTAGTTTGTAGGTTGTTAGCCTTTTACTCTTTTGATGCCTTCCTTTGAAATGATCTCCAGAAATTTGTTGTTCCACTTCAAATATTACATGCTTTGTTTGCTTAGCTTCCATACCATTGAATATTGTTGTTCCACTTCCAACGACACAGACCCCTGGAACTATCTTGACTCTTACTGTGGAAATATTACATACAATCCTAACAGTCCTTCCGGCAGCATTTACAGAGCCAATCTGAATTTCTTGCTTTACAATCTGTCTTCGCATGCATCTCGGACAGACAACAATGGCTTCTATAATTTCAGTACTGGCGATGACCCTTCAAACAAGGTCTATGGCCTCTTTCTCTGTCGAGGTGATGTCCACACTGATGTTTGCAAAGAATGCGTCGCAGATGCCCACACACGACTACTTCATGAGTGCCCAAATCAAACAGCTGCTATTGTTTGGTATGACAAGTGCTTGGTACTTTTTTCTGACCAGACGATCTTCTCCAAGGCTGATTTGGGAGAGAATGTGACTAGGCGCAATCCATTCGATGTCCCTGGACCTGACTGGGACAAATTCAAAATGGTATTGATCAATTTGTTGCATAACGCTGCGGATGAGGCTGCAAATCATACCATGGGCAAAAAGTTTGCTGTCCAAGAAGGCAATTATTCCACTGATCAAAAGAGATTGTATACCCTTACGCAGTGCACACCAGATCTATCCCCTTCTGACTGCAAAAGTTGCCTCAGAGAGGCTATAATGGACGTACCCGCGTGCTGTTCCAAGAAGCAGGGAGGGAGAGTACTTTATCCAAGCTGTAATCTGAGGTATGAGGTCTCCAGCTTCTATGATAATGTTTCCTCTGCCTTGCCAAACTCTCCTGGCGGTCCTCCTCCTAATTCCACTGAAGGTAAGTTCTGCAGCCTTGCTATGGCCGTCTCTTCTTGGAATTGGTGTTGAATACAATCTTAATTCTTACAATTTCTTGTTTGTAGTAAATTCTAGGTCGAAAATGAAAAGCACTAAATTTACAGCCTTCATTTTAAATTCATACCTTTGTTATTGGAATTAATATTATTGAAGTTAGTAGAATATGTAAATATAGGATGAAGGGTGTGAATTCACTATCAAACGAAAGGAGACCACCACGTAACTTAATGAATTTTCTAAGTCAAATTTTAGTTGAATACGTAACAGTAAGATTTCCGCATCAGCACATCTTACTGATCACATGCATCATCATTTGTAATTTATGGAAGATTTTAAGTGGTCATACTTCTTAGGACAGTAAATTTAGTCTTTTTGCAAGCATTAGCACTGTAATAACTATTGAATATATGTTGAAGTAGAATTGTTATGGTCATTACGGAATCCCTTTAACTGTGATGGCCTGACGTGCATTACGTTTTTATTTAGTTATCTATCCATTTATCTATTATATGGTTTTTAAAAATCATATACTTATGTTATAATTTTATTTTGATTGGTTGATCAGCATACATGAATATTAAGTGCATTTGAGAAAGTTTTTGCATTCAATTTGCTAGAAACATTTACATAGTGTAAAAGGGCTCAAGTTCATGGAAAATTTTGCAATGATTAATCAAATGGAAAAAGTTTGGTATTTTTAATTTTACTTTTGTGTGTAACTAAAATAGTACATGAGTTATATTATGGGCGGTATTGATTGCAAAATTACGTAAAAAAAATGAAATTTCTATGGCATAATGCAAAGAAGAATCCATTTTAGTTTTTCCAATTTTAGACAAAGACATTCAAGAAGATCGAGGATGTATTGTACGCATGTAAAAGATTTTCCGTTATAGTGCAATATAATTTGTTTGCTAGTTTAAAATATGATATTAAATAAGTAAATTAATGGTACTTCTTCGTGGTTTAATGTTTTGCCTCTTAACCTCTTGTGGTTTCAAAATCGCAATTTTACCTTAGTTGTGCTTTGGTAACGAGGAGGTTGGCTCATGAACTAAAATATTAGGGATATATATGTAAAATATTAGGGATATAATGTAAAATATTAGGGATATATATGTAATTTTACTATTAAAATAAAAAATAATATATATATATATATATATAATTGAGTTGGCTCATGAACTATCGAGTTGAATAGCTTTGAACTCGAGTTCGAATTCGAATTCGACTTGATTAGGTTGAGCATGCCTCAAGTTTGATGTTGATCGAGCTCGAGTTATCATGAGCAACACATCGAGCTCAAGTCGAGCTTTGAATTGAGTTGCTCGTAAGCGGTTCAATTCGTTTACAACCCTACCAATGACTCAACCATCCGGCCGAAAGGATTTCCAATTTGATTGAAGAATGAGTTGGTCCGATCAAACCTGTTTGACATGGTGGTTCAATCAGAGCCCGTTCGGTTTTCCAGTTGATTGGGTTCTTTTTTTTAATACAATTGTGGATCATTGTTTTTGAAATAAAGTGTAATATAATTTTTACTAGTTTTGTATGTTGGATTTCCACTTAAATGTGTAAAAACTTTTACTACTTGCTTAGTTTTTACTTGATAATTAAATGTTTTATTAAATAAACTTGTTTACTTTTTTGTTAGAAAATTAATTCTTTTAACTTTCAAACTTACAATATTTGAGTTTTTAAAAATTATTTTATTTTTTGAAAGATAAAATAATAAAAATGATGCTATACCTTTGAGTTGGCTCAAGAACTATCGAGTTGAATAGCTTTGAACTCGAGTTCGAATTCGAATTCGACTTGATTAGGTTGAGCATGCCTCAAGTTTGATGTTGATCGAGCTCGAGTTATCATGAGCAACACATCGAGCTCAAGTCGAGCTTTGAATTGAGTTGCTTGTAAGCGGTTCAATTCGTTTACAACCCTACCAATGACTCGACCATCCGGCCGAAAGGATTTCCAATTTGATTGAAGAATGAGTTGGTCCGATCAAACCTGTTTGACATGGTGGTTCAATCAGAGCCCGTTCGGTTTTCTAGTTGATTGGGTTCTTTTTTTTAATACAATTGTGGATCATTGTTTTTGAAATAAAGTGTAATATAATTTTTACTAGATTTGTATGTTGGATTTCCACTTAAATGTGTAAAAACTTTTACTACTTGCTTAGTTTTTACTTGATAATTAAATGTTTTATTAAATAAACTTGTTTACTTTTTTGTTAGAAAATTAATTCTTTTAACTTTCAAACTTACAATATTTGAGTTGTTAAAAATTATTTTATTTTTTGAAAGATAAAATAATAAAAATGATGCTATGCCTTTGAAAATAAGTGATACAATTTTGTTCTATATTTGAATGTGTTATTTATTTATGTACAAGTACAGTAAAATGAAATTAAATCTTCTATTAGTATTTGTATGTTCACTGTATATCTTTCAAAGTATAATAATTAGTATCTAAAAGTACTTTATTGCTATTTTATATTTGTAAATATTAATTTGCATATCTAAAAGTACTTTACGTGAAGAATATTAGTCCCTCTGTTGGATTTCTTGTCCAATCGAGTTTAATAACTATGCATATTGCCATGTATTCTTCATGTAGGGTCATAAAAAATCAAAATGGAATAACTAAAAACAAATACATGACAAAAGAACAAAAAACATAGCAGAGGAAACACATCGTTGGATGATTTCCCACCTCAGATTCGTGGTCTTCTGAAAGCGAAGGAAACTTATGCTATCCAATTTCACAGGCCACAGATGCGTGGTGCGAAATCATCCAACGAATAAGAAATAAGGATTTGCACTTCTACACAAGGCTACAAGTGCATAGGCTAAAGAATTTTTGGTGATTTGTCTCTGTTCTTAATTTGGTAAATAATTTTCTTCAACCTTTGTTCTTCTACAGCAATTTGGTAATATTTGGCATTGTTCTCATTTCCTTATAATCACTGGGTCTGGATAGCATCGCTTACAATGGGTAGTCGTAATTTGGTCCAAACACAGTTAAGCTCCTATATGTTCAAACCTCAGGGGAGTTTCTTAATATTAATCCATAATATTGAAAATTGATGATGAAAATCTCTCTTCATTTACCATCAACATGAAGCATGTGAGACCAAAAGGTGGTGAAAAACTTTCAAAAAGAATTGAAAAAAATATTCTTTCAAATAATGTGTTTTTGCATAGCTTTTTGGGTTAGGCTCTTCTCCATTAATTGAAGAAAATTTTTTTTCCATTACACCTAAGTAAACATGGTTATAATACTATTTTTGAAATAAAAGGTCATCCAAATTATATTTCTCGTGCTGTTTAAAGTATATTAAAAAAATTCAAATTAAATTGATTAAATTTTAATATTGGATCAAACTTTACATTTTTTTTATTATAATTTTGGCCCATATTGCACCGTCAAAGTGTTTTGTACAAATTGAATGACAAAAAATTCATAAATGAGAATGAATTTTAAGTATGTTGATCTACTTGTGGAAGTAAAATTATTGACATAAATTTAGGCACATAAATGGTGAGAAAGTAATAGAGAGGATCTCAACTCTAGCTTTTTGTCTATGTAAGGCTGGCTCAGAGTGACTCTACCTCGAAGTTTAATAAAATTGATCTCCTATGATCAGCTGACTTTCGAAGCTAAATTAAACTAACTTTCATCCAGGCAAAGGGCGAAGCCCCCCGCGAGCAGCTTTTTCAATTGCTGTCCCATTAATTGGGGTTGCTGTTGTGCTATTTATCATGGCTTTAGTTTTCCTGAAAAGAAGATTGCGGAAGAGTTATGTTGCTATGGCACTGGAAACAAGTGGTAAAGTTGATTGATTAATATTACAAACACTTCAGATTTGTTTGAACAAATAAATTGAGTGTATTTGCTTATTTCTGGTGTAGATGGTGTTGCTGATATCTTCACTGCCGAATCTTTACAGTATAGCTTAACTGAAATTCAAATTGCCACAAATAACTTCTCTGTGGATAACAAAATTGGCGAAGGTGGATTTGGTCGTGTATACAAGGTCTTTGCATGAAATATTTTGCTTTTGTGAATTTGAATATCTACACATTTAATATTTCAATTAAATTCTAGTATGCATGTTTACTCAGGGTGTACTTGGTAATGGACAAGAAGTAGCTGTTAAAAGGCTGTCAAGGAGCTCAGTGCAAGGTGCAGAAGAATTTAAAAATGAAATTGTAGTAGTTGCAAAGCTTCAACACAGAAATCTAGTTCGGCTATTGGGATTTTGCCTGGAAGGAGAAGAAAAGATACTCATCTATGAATTTGTTCCTAACAAAAGCCTTGACTACTTTCTCTTCGGTGGGTTCAATCTAGACATACTTATAGTAATTTTTTGTTGTTCCATGTGATCTTGTTCTATTTTACTTGACTTGCCATTTTATGGAAATGACGGACAAATTGCCTCTAGACAAATGTTTAATTGGTGTGAATTCTAGTTTAGACCCTTAAATCACAGACGCGCACTCAAACTTTAGTTCTTAAACTTTAATTTTGGATACTTCACCTCCTAATGCATCACATGTTATAACAGATGCAGCGGAACAGAAGAACAAACAAGAATAGACAAGAACAACTTGGGGGAAATCAGATTTTATTAGCGAGACCCCCGTACAGCTCAGCGGGGGTTGAAGATCTAATTCAAGGCATCTCAACAATCTCCACCTTGACTTGAATCTTCCCTGAAAAATGTAACAGACGCACTAATGAAGTGCCAGAAGTACTCAGAGAATTATCTCTAAGTACCATCAGAATGCCCATAAGGGCCATCAGAAACTTAGGACATTTAGCAAATCCAAACAATGTTTGAATTTGCTATGAGGGACCGACTTGGTGAACATATCAGCAGGATTGTCAGCAGTGCCAATTTTCTTCACCTTGATCCTTGTCTCAGATCTCAAGAAATGATATCGGACATCAATGTGTTTAGTCCTCTCATGATGAACTTGATCCTTGGCTAAACATATTGCACTGAGACTATCACAATATATATTAGCCTGATCCTGATGTAGGCCAAGATCTCCAACCAGCCCCTTTAACCAAATTCCCTCTTTAGCAGCCTCCGTCAGTGCCATATACTCTGCCTCAGTAGTGGACAGAGTCACTGTAGGTTGTAGAGTTGCTTTCCAACTAACTACAGAATGCCCAAGAGTGAAAACATAACCAGTCATCGACCTCCTACTATCAACATCTCCAGCATAATCAGAATCTGAATAGCCTGTAACCAAACACTCTGTATCACCTCCATAGATGAGACCAACATCAGATGTGCCCCTCAAATACCGAAAAATTCGCTTCACTGCCAGCCAGTGCTCCTTCCCAGGATTAGCCATAAATCTGCTAACAACACTGACTGCATGTGCCAGATCAGGTCTAGTGCAGACCATGGCATACATCAAACTACCCACTGCACTAGAATAGGGAACCTTAGCCATATACTCCATCTCAGCTTCTGACTGTGGTGCAAGTGTAACTGATAGTTGAGCATTCGTTGCACTCGGAGTATTCAAGGGTTTTGCTGTAGACATGTCAAATCTGGATAGTACCTTCTCAATATAGCTCTTCTGTGATAAGAAAAGCTTTTTCTGACTTCTATCCCTGAAAATCTCCATTCCCAAAATTTTCTGTGCTGCACCCAAGTCTTTCATCTCAAACTCTGCACTGAGAAGACTTTTCAACTTCTGTATATCAGCTTTATTCCTCGCAGCTATGAGCATATCATCTACATACAGAATCAAATAGATCATCGAACCATCTTCAAGTTTGTTGTGATATACACAACAATCATACTGACTTCTGTTGTAACCTAGCTCAATCATGTAGCTGTCAAATTTTTTGTACCACTGCCTTGGGGACTGCTTTAATCCATACAAAGATTTCTTCAACTTGCATACATAATCTTCTTTTCCCCGAACATAAAATCCATCTGGCTGAGTCATATAAATCTCTTCATCTAACTCTCCATGTAGGAAAGCTGTCTTCACGTCTAGCTGCTCAAGTTCTAAGTCCTGATGTGCAACCATTGCTAGTAGCACCCTGATAGAAGTGTGTCTGACCACTGGTGAGAAAATCTCATTGTAGTCTACTCCTTCTCTTTGAGTGAACCCTCTTGCAACAACACGTGCTTTATACTTGATGCCCTCAGCTGGAGAAATTCCTTCCTTCCTTTTAAAGACCCATTTGCAAGTCACAACCTTTCTCTCTGCTGGCCGTTTGACCAATTCCCAAGTGCCATTCTTGTGTAACGACTCCATTTCATCACCCATTGCAGCAAGCCATTGAGCTGACTCACTGCCTGAAATAGCTTCTCTATAGGTAGAGGGCTCGGGAGAATCCGCCTCCTCAGCAACCTGAAATGCATAACCTACAAAATCCCGATACCTGCTGGGAGCTTGTACTCCCACTCTCCTTGCACGATCATAAGCAATACCATGCTGCTGAGTTTCTGATGCAGTATGGGATATAGGTGCCAACCTTTCTGCTGATGTAGATTCTGGAGACTCTACTTCTGCAGGAGGTTCAGTTTCACAGGATAGCTGTTGATAATCACTAAATTGCTGCTGTGATTCAAAACCATTTTGAATGATTTTTAGCTCCACCTGTTTATCAGCACCTGTACTTTCTTCAACAACAGCCTTCACACGGGGGTTAAGTATAGAGTTTTCATCAAAAATTACACTTCTACTAAGTATAACTTTCCTTTCTGAGGGTGACCAGATTGTATACCCTTTAACCCCATCTCCATATCCCAGAAACACTCCCTTTTTAGCCCTTGGTTCTAGTTTACCCTCACTGACATGATAATACGCAGTACAACCAAAAGCCTTCAAATTTGAGTAAGTAGGGGACATACCAGACCACACTTCATAAGGTATCTTGCAGTCTATACCTGTATGAGGTGCATGATTGATCAAGAAGCAGGTCGTGCTCACTGCTTCCGCCCAGAACCTCCTTGGCAAACCAGCATTGAAGAGCATACACCGTGCTCTCTCTAGAAGTGTCTGATTCATGCGTTCTGCTACACCATTTTGTTGTGGTGTGTGTCGAACTGTGTGATGCCGGGCAATTCCTTCATCTTTGCAGAACTCATCGAACTCCTTTGAACAGAATTCCAGACCATTATCAGTTCTCAGCCTTTTGATCTTCTTTCCAGTTTGATTCTCCACTAAGGCCTTCCACTGCTTGAAATTCTTGAAAGCTTCACCTTTTTCCTTCATAACGATTACCTCAACTCGTGAAGGACCCCAACAGTCAGAATGGATGTAATCCAGTTTGCCTTTTGTCCTGTGAATTGCCTTCCCAAACTTTCTGCGATGTAATTTACCGAAAGTACAATGTTCACAGAATCCAAGATCAGTGACCTTGTGGCCTTCTAGAAGATCACGTTTAGACAGAATCTGCATCCCTCTTTCGCTCATATGACCAAGCCTAATGTGCCACAGCTTGGTCATATCAGACCTGCGATTTTCAGAAGATGCAACAGCAGCAGCAGCAGAACCTGTTAGCGTAGAACCTTGTAGGATGTACAGGGTGCCATGCTTAACTCCTTTGAGAACCACTAATGAACCTTTACTGATGCACAACTCTCCACTTCCTCCGCTGAACCTGAAACCCTTACTGTCAAGAGTACTAAGTGATATCAGATTCTTCGTCATTTTGGGGACGTGCCTGACTTCGTTCAGTGTGGCAATTTTTCCAGTATGTGTCCTAATCTTAATCGAACCGATTCCAACAGCCTTGCAGACAGCGCTATTAGCCATCACGACATTTCCGCCATCTATCTGCTCATATGTTGTAAACCATTCCCTATTTGGACATATGTGATAGGACGCCCCAGAATCAAGAACCCACACATCAGATTGATGTGTTGGTTCGTTTGCAATTAGGGCCAGGTCTTCTTCTGAATTTTCCGCTTCCTTTTCTGCAGCTGAAGCTGAAGCGTGTTGTTTTTCCTGCTGTTTCTTCTTCTTGGGACAATCAGATTTCCAATGACCTTTTTCCTTGCAATAGTTACAGACATCATCCGGCTTGGGACCTTTAGAGAACTGCTTCTTATTTCCGGACTTCTTTTTTCCCAATTTTCCTTTATCACTACTGACAACTAATCCAGCAGCCTGATTATCTGTAACATTACCAGCCGCCTTATGGCGCAACTCTGTACTGTGCAGTGCTGATCTTACTTCTTCTAAAGTTACTGTATCTTTACCGCCAATAAAAGACTGAACAAAATTCTCATACGATAACGGTAGAGACACTAACAGAATCAACGTGGCATCCTCATCCTCAATTTTAACATCAATATTACGCAATTCAAGAAGAATTGTATTTAATTGATCTAAATGTTCTCGAAGAGGAGTACCTTCCTGCATACGCAGACCGAACAGACGTTGCTTTAGGAGCAACTTGTTGGTTAAAGACTTCGTCATATAGAGACTTTCAAGTTTAACCCACAAACCCGCAGCAGTTTCTTCACCGGCGACCTCAGTGATGACATCATCTGCCAGACACAACATGATTGTCGAGTGAGCCTTTTCCTCCAGACTCATCGACTCTTCATCAACGGAATCCGATTTCTTCTTTGTTAGCGGACTCCACAGGCTCTGCTGCTTTAACAGAGCCCGCATCTTGATCTGCCATAAACTGAAACTATTTCTCCCGGTGAACTTGTCGATCTTGATGTTCAAAGCAGACATGTTGTTGCGTGATCCGAGCCCTAGGACAAACCTAGAGCTCTGATACCAGTTTGTTATACCAGATGCAGCGGAACAGAAGAACAAACAAGAATAGACAAGAACAACTTGGGGGAAATCAGATTGTATTAGGGTTGTAACAAGAACAGCGAGACCCCCGTACAGCTCAGCGGGAGTTGAAGATCTAATTCAAGGCATCTCAACAAGTACTCTAGTGAGAGAAAACATGGGTAAATTGGATAATTAATGAGGGTACAAAAGGAAAGTAGTGTACAGATTTAAGCAATGAAAAATTTTTCTTAATTGGTGTGTAAAACCTTAAACGTCAGTTATAAAAAAAGAGAGGGAGTAGTAATAACTCTGACCATATTCTCTCCTTGTAACCTGTGCATTTAACTGAAAAATTGAATACCAACACACACACACACACACACAGAGTAAAATACTGAAACCAGCTAGATGTTTAGGAAAAAGTTTCCTTAGTGGATGGATGATCTTTATCCATTTGAATCACATGCATTTAGATCTATTTACTAAACGGTTGCAATTGCCACTCGTAGTGAAACGGGTACGCATTTAAGGAGATCATCCTTATCTTCCACGTCTCCACGCCATATATATATACTTGTTGAACCTTGCTTTGCTTTCTTCCTCAAGCTATACCCACAAGAAACAATTCCATTTCGTAACAAAATGTCTCCCTTTCTCTTAGCCCTTTTT